ACTTCCCTGGCAGTCCAGTGGTTAAGCCTCTGTGCTCCCAATGCAGGGGGCATGGGTGGATCCCTGGTTGGGGAACTAAGATCCTGCATGCTGCTCAGTGCCACCAATGCACAAACAAAAAACTCCACCCCCTACAAAACAGACTTTGCCTTTTCAATCTTGCCATCCCCGGAAGTAGAAGTGAGCCTCAGAGGGGCTTTCAGGGATCCAGGGAAACCACCTAAGGCAGCATGTCTGTGTATCAAATACAGACTTCTGTGGTTTTCCAGATGACGTGTACAGTTAGAGCATTTTACTTTCAATATAACAGGGCCCTCAGAAGACAATTTTATGTTGAACTTTAGAAAGTCCCGCCCAGCCTCAAGTTTGGTCACAACTCCCTAAATTCACTGAGACTTCCTTTCAGTGTCTGCTTCCAAAATCTGTGCCCTAAGCTGCTTTCTGGGTATATGTCCAGACTGGCCTGATCACACTGACCCTTGTGTTCCATGAGGTTCCTGCCAGAACCAGTCACTTTTCACCCAAAATCTCAGAGGCCAGCAGCTCCCCCAGCTACATCCCATAGACAAAGGAGGGAGGGGTAAGTGTTGCACTAGCAGAACACGAAACATCCTGTGAGAAGAAACTGGCTTTATCCTCCAGTTAAGAGGTAATTTCTTGACCCCTTTTGGCTCAATAGTAAACATACTATAGCAAAATTTAATAAATGAGTCATTACAGGTCCAATTTTCAGGGTCAATTGTGAATGGCTGTGAATCTTAAGTAGTAGATGCCTGGTTGACCAGCCACATGAGGTATGGGGCTACAGCGAACAGGAGCAACAGCATCACCTGGAAGCTTGTTAATAATGTGGCATCTTGGGTTCTCCTGACCTGTGAGTTGCTGAGTCAGTCAGCTCTTTAACTAGATCCCCAATGATTTGGGCATAAAGTATGAGCAGCTCTGCTCTGTAACTCCTCTCAACCCTGCCTGACCGTACATTAGAATCACCTGGACATTTCTTAAAACCACCCATCTCTGGAGATCGATTTAACTGGTAGGGGGTAGGGGTCCAACCATTGCTATATATAAAAGCTCTTCCATTTACTCTAATATACAGAAAGGACTGAGGTCTGTCTCTGCCAGTAGGATCTTGGGCCACTTGCTAGCCTCTGAGCCTTACTCTCCTAGACTGAAGTGGGAATAAAGCTGACTGCTTCCTGGGGTTCAAGGGGTTAACGACTGGATTATGTCTAATGTAGAGCAGGAAGGGTGGCTAGGAGGAGGAAGGTGAATCCAGATGGCAAACTGTTCCTCAAATGCAGAAAGTTTCATGTATTTTCCCAGCCCCTCACCCCCAGGTCCAAGTAGCACCCCAGCCAACGCTCAAGTCCCCTGGTCCCAAGCCATGGGCAGGCGTGAGGTTGGAGGAAAGGGTAGAGACAGCCTTGGTACCCACCGCCCCCCACCTCTATCAAGTTTTGTTTGTAGTGGATTTGTTGTTTAGTTGCTATGTCATGCCCAACTCTTTTTGCGACCTCATGGACTGTAGCCTGCCAGACTTCTCTGTCCATGAGATTTTCCTGGCAAGAATATGGAGCGGGTAGCCATTTCCTTCTCCAAGGGATCTTCCCGACCCAGGTATCAAACTTGCGTCTCCTACTTTGCAGGTAGATTCTTTACCACTGAGCCACCAGGGAAGCCCTCTATCAAGCTTAGGTTTAGGAAAAAACACAGAAAACTCAAGCACAAACAGAACTCATCTTTGCAGCTTCCCTTCACTGATTTTAAACATTCTAGTCTTTGTTTAAATAATTCAAGAATCGCATTACTCAGGGACTGCAGAGAAGCTGTTTTTACCAAGCAGCTTCCCTATTTAGGGAGATTATTTCCTGTTTTAGGAGACTAGAGTGGAAATTCTTGAGAATTGTCTCATATAAGCCACTTCTTTAGTAGCAGCAGTTTTTAGGAAATTTTTCTTCCGAGGAAAGTCTTCTGAGCTCCAACCCCGCTGGGTCACTTTTGGGGAGCAGCAGCTTGTTCTGGGGACAGAACAGCTATGCCAGCTCAGGCTGATGCTGATCCTGTTTCTATCCTGCCTCCCAGATGCGGGCTTCCCTGGTGGCTCAGGGGTAAGGAATCCACCTGCAATGCTGGAGAACCGGTTTCCATCCCTGGGTTCGGATGATCCCCTGGAGAAGGAAATGGCAACCCACTCCAGTATTCCTGCCAGGGAAATCCTGTGGACAAAGAAGCCTGGTGGGCTAGTGTCCATCAGATTGTAGAGTCAGATACGACTCAGGGACTAAAAGAACGACTCCCAGATGTCACCAATTAATGCCAGTCATTGACAGCAAAAATCAGCTAGATTGAAAGTGACCCAGGAACCAGGCTTCAGAACCCCTGATCCAGATCAACATTTTCTAAAATTGCCCAATCATAGGACTCAGCTGGTTGTCTTGATTCCCAGGCCTTACCCCATACCCATGGACTAAGATTTCCAGGAAATCCCATGGACAAAGAAGCCTGACTACAGTCCAAGGGGTTGCAAAGAGTCGGACATAACTGAGTGACCAACACTTTCACAAGGTTTCCAGGAGCGAGGTTCTGGAATTTCTATCTGTGGGAAGTGCCTCTCCCTTCCCCCATAACAGCTCCTACTCATTAATAACTTAATTTGGGCCTGGTATTGTGCTAAATGTTTTTAATTAACTCATTTAATCCTAAGAATCTAGAAGTTAAAGAATTTGCTCAGAATCACACAGTGATCAAGAGATGGTGGCTCAGATGGTAAAGCATCTGTCTGCAGTGCAGGAGAGACCTGGGTTCAATCCCTGGGTCAGGAAGATTCCCCTGGAGAAGGAAATGGCAACCCACTCCAGTGCTCTTGCCTGGAAAATTCCATGGACAGAGGAGCCTGGTAGGCTACAGTCCACGGGATCACAAAGAGTCGGACATGACTGAGCAACTTCACAGAAAAAAATAAGAACCTAGAAGTTAAAGAATTTGCTCAGAATCGCACAATGATCAAGGGATGGAGCCAGAATTCCACCCCAGGCACTGTGTCTGCAGAGTCCCCAAACCAGGAAGTAGTGTGGCTTCTCAGGCAGAAATGTCAGTAAGATTCTAAACTAGAGTCAGGACTTCAGGACCTGGGTGGGGCTGGGTACTCTTCAGGAGATAGTGCCAGTGAAGTTCAAAGGTATTCTCTGCAACCTAGGAAGGCAGCACCCAACAAGGAGACCCAAGTAGCCATTCAAGGTGGATGCCCTACATGCTCATGGCTTTAGAGAGCTGCCCTGCCCAGAAAACCTCACCCCCAGGGCAGGTCGGGTGTCCTGTGTGCCAAGGGTGGCGACAGGCAGAAGTTTCTAGGAGTCAGTTGGCACCCTAATGACTGCCAGTCCTTCTCCCCATAAAATCTAGGGACCCACCTGGACATGGAGCAGAGAAAAGAGGGCACAACCTGCTTCTACTACTACCCCCCACCCCAACCCTCTGTGCTTCTAAGATCCCCAGAATTACAGGACAGTGGGTCCAAAATAGAACTTCCTCTTTTTGCTTTGGTCACCCTGTCCCCCAACCCCGTCAAAAACAAAAACCGAACAGAGCCTTCCTCAGTAAACTCCCTGTCTTCTGGAAATCAAGCTTTCCTTAAGATTACTCTGCCAATGATTTCTCAAATGATCTGCAAGGCCCACAGCTGGCACAGCCCTGAGCAGGGTAGAGGGGAAAACCTCGATGTTTGGAGTCGAGAAATCTCAAGAGAGGAAAAAAAAAAAAATCACATTCTAAGAGCTCAAGGGGACAGGCAAGATAAATCTAGCAGGGACCAATCTCACTCGAGGAGGGAGTCTAAATGGACCCCTCAGGGGGAGCTGGAGGTCAGAAAGGCCTGAGATTTCGGATCTGGGGGTGTTGGCAAGGTGGCAAGGTGACAAGTTGATCTACCTTTACTTCAGAAGCCAGAAAAAAAAAAACAAAAACCCAACAGGGAAAGCAAACCTTCTCAAGGCTAAGCCGCCATCCATCTTCTCCTAGTTCTGGTTCAGGGACCACTTGCCCCAGCTGAAGCCCCAAGAAGGCACGACAGAGCTGGAGAGGGACTTGCGGGCCACAAGGTCCCACTCACTGGTTTGGGGATCTGGGGCCTTTATGAAGTACTTACATCCAGAAGTGCGGCTTGGCTGCAATAGACTGCTCAGTTCTGGTAAACTCCAGCAGCCAGCCCTGGGGATCACTTCCCGACAGGGCAGCCTCAGGGGTGGGGCTTGGGATTTAAAGGGCCCTCACAGCTGGTTCTCATTTCTTTTTTTCCCTCCACCTCTAGGTGGCTTCTGACTTCCCAGGTGATTCAGTCATAAACTGCCTACCAAGTCAGGAGATGCGGGTTTGATCCCTAGGTCAGGAAGATCCCCTGCAGAAGGAAATGACACTCCCTCCAGTATTCTTGCCTGGGAAATCCCATGGACAGAGGAGCCTGTCCATGGGGCTACAGTCCATGGGGTCGCTAAAGAGTCAGACAGTACTGAACAACTAATGAACAACAAGGTGGCTTCTACTACAGCTGAAGGTACTGAGCTCATTCAGTGGCGGGGAATTCCTACCTCACAGCCAGCTGGGAGCACTGGACTGAGACTGGGAAGGGTCCACAGCCCGAGGCAGGGGGGCAGGTGCTGAGTTCACTTCTACCCCATCTGCCTTTAATTGCCCAATCGGGGTGAGTACAGTTCTGCCTCTCCATAAGGGTTTTGGCTTCAGCTGCAGCCTCTCCTCTAAGAAAAGGTAACTTGTTTTTTAATTTTTTTATTTTAGATTCAGAAAATTCGGCTCAGGTCTCCCAACAGATGTTCAAGGGAAAACATACACACACACACACACACACACACACACACACACGCGCGCGTCAGTCCTCTTTCTGGCAAGGTATCGTGGTGGGAGTCTGGGAACATCTCTCCTCTTGCCCAAGGCCCTGGGTGAGGGAAGGTGGGCCAAGGCCCCAGCAGGCAGACTCAGCAGCCTCAGTATTTCCGCTGCCGGGGGAAGAGACTACCCGCTGAGGATCGGAGTTGGGGGCTGGCGGGGCTGGCGTCCTCTGAGTCCAGGCTGAAGAGGTCCCTGCCGGTACGAAGGATCTGCTCCTCTAGTTTCTTGTGTCGCTTCATGTCTGAAAGGACCTTGTCCAGGCGGGCCTCCCGTTTCTGGCTCCGGGCTGAGCTTCCTGAAGAAGGGGAAGGTGAGAAATGTGGGAGGGAGTCAGGCAGTATGTGCCAGAGCTGCCTGGGTCTTATTAATCACTTAGGGAGCTTATTAAACAGAGATTTCCAGGCCGGTTGTGAAGGCACTTTTTTGGGGGATATTGTCACATTTTAATTTGTTGGTTTCATTTTGGCACATTCAACTCACGCTCAAAGTTTTAGAATTAGAAGCACATTATCTTTCTACATGCAGGGTAGAAGACTACTTGTAAACCATGTAAATTTTTCAATTCATTCAGACATAATTGCCATAGACGTCATGGAGGTTCTGAGGTTTAGGGTTGGGGTCTCAGATGGGGTGGTAAGTGAAGGTTTGAATTATGAGAAGAGGCCAGAAATGTGAAGATCAGGGAGTGTCCCAGGCAGGGGACAGGCAAGTGCAAAAGCCCCAGGGAAGGAACACAGAGGTCTGTCCAATAAGAAATGTAGAGCTAGCAGAGACAGGCAAGATGAGGCCAAAGAAATGACTTAACAGACCATGATAAGGGGTTTGGATCTTAGTGTACATGGAAGCCTTGAGTGGCGGGAGAGGGGGGCTTGGATTCTCAATTGGCATGCTCGTCCACCCCCTCAGCCCCCGTTAATAGAATCATTTGGAGGACTGAAATCAAGAGAAGTGACACAGCTTGTATTTTGAAACATAAACCGTCTCTAGTGCTGAGACTGGTGGCAGGAAGACCAGTTAAGAGCTACCACAACTCTCCAGGTGACAGAGATGGTGGTGGCTTGAATGAGGATATCGTGTTAAAGATGGAGAGCTGAACATGGAAATGTGGAAGCAGAGCTAACAAGACTTGCTGCCGGCTTGAATGTTGAGGTGAAAGAAACAGAAATCAGGAATGGCTCCAGGATGTCCCTAATGGTCCAAGGGTTGTGAGTCTGCCTGACAATGCAGGGGACATGAGGTTAATCCCTGATCCAGGAGGATCCCACATACCCTGGAGCAGCTAAGTCTGTGTGCCACAACTATGGAGCCCTTGCTCTAGAGCCCGGGAGCTGCAACTACTGAAGCCCGCGTGCCCTACAGCCCATGCTCCACAACAGAAGAAGCCACTGCAATGAGATGCCCGCCCATGTATCAAAGAGTGGTACCTGCTCGCTGCAACTAGAAAAAGCCTGTGCACAGCAACAAAGACCACCATAGCCAAAAATCTTTTTTTAAAATGGCTCCAAGGGGACTTTCTTGGTGGCTCAGATGGTAAAGAATCTGTCTGCAATGTGGGAGACCTGGGTTCGATCACTGGGTTGAGAAGATCCCCTGGAGGACAGCATGGCAACCCACTCTAGTATTCTTGCCTGGAGAATCCCCATGGACAGAGGTGCTTGGCAGGTTGCAGTCCATGGGATTGCAAAGAGTCTGAGCGACTAAGCACAGCACAACAGCAAGGGGACTTCCCTGGTGGTCCAGTGGTTATAACTCTGTGCTTCCACTGCAAGGGCACGGGTTCAATCTCTGGTCAGGGAACTAGGATCCCACATGTCGAGCAGCATGGCCCAAAACAAAACAAGAATGGCTCCGAGGGTAAACTCTACGAAGGCACACAGGATGGGAAACTGGGTACGATTAGGACATTGTACACAGCAGTGTAGGTATGTGGATCTAGGTAATAATAATAATGACTTGGACTTCGAGGATGACTGAGAAGTAATGAGAAGCATGATGAAATTATCTGTGATAACCTTTTAAGGGAAGACAGGGGACCACCTAAGCTGGAAGGATGCCACCACTGGGTGCATGCTCTCTCTGAAGCTACAAGTTGTGTAGTTACCAAGGCACCAAGTCAAGGCCTCTTTTAGGGAGTCACTTTCTGAGTAAGTGGGAGCAGAGGCTCTTCACCCCCACACCCCCACCCCCGCTGCCCAGTACTACCCTCTCGTCTGTACCTGGGGTGCGCCTCCGGTCAATCAGGGAGTCCTTTGGTGTCATTGGCTCATCATCAAAGTCAAATTCTGTAGGCATGTGTGGTCTGGGGCAGGGGGACAGACAGTGAAGGGTGAAGGTGGTTCCCCCCCAAACAACCACACTTGTCCCCAACCTCCTGGCTTTTCTTCTCCCCCTCCTCCCTCCATTCACTTCCCATGATCCTGGGTCCCGCCTCCCCTCCCTATTTCCTCCCGGCATTAGGGGAGGAGCCCCAAGGACAAGGTGTCAGGGTGTGCCCTCACTTTTCTTCTTCCTCCTCTTTGGCCTCTGGCTCCTCATCGGATCTCTCCTCTTCACTCTGGGCCTCAGGCGTGGGTGGCCGGCGGGGCAGGATCTCAGCCTGAAGCTCCAGGGTACCGTGGGCAGCCAGCAGTTCATAGAGCCGTTGGATTTCAGAGGGGGGTGGCATCCAGGACTGCCCATCTGCGGGCAGCTCCACCTCTTCATCGCTGCAGGGCACGCACCAGTCCTCGGATTCTCCCTTGGCACGCTCCTCCCCCTCAAGGCTGGGGGCTTCTCCCTGCACCTCCTCGGCCCCGGACCCCTCATGCTCAACCTCCTCCCGGCCTCCTTCTCCCTCTTCCTCGGCTTGATCGGCCGAAGCAGAGGGGCCTCCGGTATCCTCCACAGCCAGAGCCTGGAGACCGGAGGTCACTTCCCCTTCTTCAGAGAGAGGCGGCGCCGTAGTGGCTGCAATGTCTCCATGGCCCCGGACAAGGGACATATGCCACTAGGGAAGGGGCCCTGCGATGACAGGAGATGGCAGGAGTACTAAGCCAGGGATCCCCCACCCCCGCCTCCGCGGGTAGGGCTTCCTGGGGCTTCAGAGAACGTCTGTCTAACCAATCAGGTTCCAACAACAGTCCCTGCGAACAGACCCGCCGGTTCCCAGAAGGGGGCGCTCAAGTCCCCTCCGAGGACCCCGCCCCCACGGATCGAGATCTGGTATTCCGACGTTCCCAGGGACCCACAGAAACCACTCTCCAGGCCGGAGAGGGGCGGACCCCCTCTTCTCGCCTTCAGGCCGCCCCTCTCTACACCTGGATCCAGCACCCTCTCCCCACACCTCGAAGTTTCGCCACCTCAGCTACCGTACGCACCTGGAGCTAAGACCCGCCTCCCGGGCTACGCAGGGTCACAGTACGCAGACGCACCGAGGTGGCGCGGGAGGTTCCGCTTTAGTCTAAGCTACTCGGAAGAGGAAAGCGAGGGAAGGCTTGCACATGCGCAGGTAGGCGCTCCGGAATAATAGGCTTCGGCCCACAGTAAAGATGGCCACCGGGGCAGCGCATGCGCAAACGACGCAGTAGGTTCTGCGTGAAAGGAGGCAGTACCTCCGGCCCCCGCGGCGCACGCATGTTAAGGACCAACTGAGGCTAGAGGCGAGTCTCATGCAGTCTCCGTTTATTGGTGTCTCGGACCCATGCAGCATCGGCATACAAAAAGGGAAAATCAGTTGATGTATCCTTTTTTTTGTTTGTTTTTAGACTTTTAGGTTTTTTTCCCTACACTTTTTTTAGGGAAAAAAAAAACCCGCCAACTCCGAACCGCGTTGTGGCTCGGTCCCCGCCTCCCCAGCGGACTGTCGCGTGCAACAAACCTCTCTCGTCCTCTTAGAAAAGAATACACCTCTCCGCCCTTCCCTTGCTCCCTGCAGCTGGGAGCTTTGGTCCTATTTGGGGGGTTCTTTTTCTTACAAAGTACGTGAATGACCCCAGCTCCGACGAGTTCGCTGACTGGGTTAAAAAGCCCAGATGGGACAGGTCAACTCAGGCTGACCAGGGAGGGTCAACAGCCATGCCCCTCCGTTCTCCCAGGTGCGTGTTCGGAACACGCCACCCCTGCATAAGTCTCCAAATGAGGCCTGGCTGGCCGGCTTTGCGACCCCGAGGCACCCTGGGGGTCGTCCGGACCTGGGTGGTCCCAACAGAGAACAGTCGGAGCCCGGGCGAGGGAGCCCTTTCCTGACACCCCTCCCCCCCACCCCCAGCCTGTTCTAAATGCTGGAGTTTTTGTTGAATAAATGGTGGAGGAGGGTGGAGGAGAGGATGCTGGAGGGAGATGAGGAGGCAGGAAGAGGAAGGGGGCGGAGGGTGTGGGGAGGGAAGTGGCGATGAATTAGGTGGGAAGGAAGAAAGGAATGAGGGGAGGAAGCTGAGACAATGAAAGTTAGGAAAGGGAGACCAGGGTCGAGGTGCAGGAAATTCGGGGAGGTTGTAGTGCAGGAAGGTGGGGAGAGATGCAGGGAGGCTGAGAGTACAGAGAGATGGGGAGATGTTCAGGGAGGATTCCAAAAGTGCAGGGAGGTTTCCAGAAGTGCAAGGATAGGGAAGCCGAGAGGCTGGAGGGGGTGCAGGCAGAAGTGCAGGGAGGTTGGAAACAGTGCAGGGAGAAGGGAGGCCTACGGTTGGCAGAGGAGCCTGGCAGGATGCAGGAACAGGAAAGAAGCTGTAAACAAGGCCGCTCAGGCTCCCTTGGTCCCTATGGGTGCGGGCCTGGGCCATGGATTGGGCTCCCCCCAGGGGAGGATGGGCCCAAGGCAGCTCCCAACAGGAAAAAAAGTCTTGGAATGCAGGGCAGAGCCCCTCACTTATACACTGTGGGAGAGGAGAGGGAGGGACAGACAGAGACGGTGGGGCAGGGGGGTTGGGGGAGACAAGGAGAGACAAAGAAGTAGGGAGAACAGACAGGAGAGAGCAGGGGCAGGGGTTAGTAAAGCCGCCCTTGCCAGCCCTTCCATTCCTCCCGGCCTGTCCCAGACCCCCACTCACCGCCTAAGTTGATGACGCAGGAGGCGATAATGATGAGGATCCCCCCTACCAGTGCCACGATGCTTAAGAGCTTGGCCACGCGACCCAGACGCTGGGCCCCATCCACGTCCCCCTGTTGCAGGCTGTTTCGGGACTGGGGTTAGAGTGAGGGGTGGGGGCACCAGCCCAGGTCAGGAAATACCAGCCAGGCAGAGATCGGGTGTAGGAGTCGTCCAGAGAAGACAGGCCAGCCGGTGGGCAGTGGTTATGGGAGGAAGGGGGTTGAGAGGCAGCAGAAGGGCACAGGTCAGTAAGACTGTGTGAAATGTCTCAACTTCCCTCCCACCTGATGGGGTAGAGCTCAAAAGGTGAAGTCCCAGGGAGAGGTGAGCAAAGGCCCTGTAATTGGGAAGTGAGATCCATGCAGAGAGGGGAGGGGAGGCGGGGTTACTCCTGGGGCTGTGTCCCAGCAAGGGGCAGGAAACTGGGAACCGCTGCAGGCCTGGACCAGGCAGGGTCCCCTGGGGCTCACCATGACGGCATAAGCGAAGGCCACGATGTTGACAGGCCACATGGGGCAGAAGCAGGACAGGATGGCGAGGATGATGTAGTCCCGAGGTTTCTGGGTGCCTTCACCCCCCTCCACCCCAGACCCTGCGAGCTGGGAGCTAGGGTGGCGGCTCAGGCTTCCTCGGGGAGATCCTGAATGCCCACTGTGAGCCCTTCCTAGTCGATCCTCCTCCACCAGCTGCTGCAGCACACGGGGTGGGGCCCCATTGGCTGGGGGGGTCTTTGTGGAGGGTGATGAGTGAGGCTGGGGGGCTGGACCCTCTTCCCCATCCCCATCACCAGCCTGCAGAGGAACCACTGCCCCATTCTCCTGCTTTTCTCCCATGCTCTCGCTCAGGATCTCAGAGGTGGGCTCCTCCTTGGTAGGGGGCTCTGGCTGAAGGGCTGGTGTGGAGGTGGACTGGGAGGCTGACTGGGGCTCTGGCTGGGGCTCTGACTGGGGTTCTGGCTGGGGGGCAGGCTCTGAGGCTGGCTTAAGCGGGGCTGCGGATTCCAGGTTGGATTCCGGGTCTGCAGTGGCCTCTTTGCTCACTTCGGGTTTGGATGCTAGCTCTTGGCATGTTTCTTCAGTGCTGGAGTTGGCCTTTGCTTCCCCTCCTGGGCTTGAGCTGAGGTCTCTGGCCTGAGCTGCTTCAGGGGCCCCAGTTGGGGTTTCTGTGGTTTCTGGAGCCAGCCCAACCTTGGGCTCTGAGTCCACAGGGGCCCCCATGACGTCTGGGCCTGGCTGCAGGGTCTCTGGCTCATCTGAGACCCCACCTGGGACCTGGGGAGAGCCAGTTTGGCCTTCAGAATGGCCAGGCCCTTCTCCCTGGGTCTGGGGACCCTCCTCTACCCCCTTAATCTCAGAGACCTCAGAGCTGCTAGCTGCCATCTTGAGACAGGAGAGGGGAGAGGGCCTCTCAGGGAAGGATGGAACGGCGGCGAAGACAGCAGCAAATCCTGCAAGAGGAGGAGACAGGCTTGGTGTGAAGAGGGAAAAGATAGCTTTCAGCACTGCAGCCCAAGAGGGCAATGCTCCTTTCTCAGGGCCAGCCTTGGACTGCCTCTGGGGAAAAGGAAGAAAAGTTGGGGTTTCCTTTGCTTTGGGGTGGGACATCTCTGGGGAGGAGTGCTCTGCTCAGGCTTCTGGTTGGAGAGCCCTGTGAAGATGAATCCTTTTGTAAACAGGGTTCCCCACGGTCTCTTCCTGGGTCCACCCAACAAGATCCAGACTCATCCTAGCAGATACCACAGCACCCCAAAATCAAGCTGTTCCGACTCAGACGTTCCAATAGGCAGACTGGGCAAAGGACCCCGAAACTCACATTCCACTCTCTGCATCCTCCCTCCCTGGGCGCCCAGCCGGTGCGGTTTTCGTGCTGCGCTTCTGGGGCGTAGACGCCCGCGCCCCTCCCTCGGGGACCTGGGCATCTCCGCTGAGCCCCTTCCCAGCCCCTCTCCCAGGGATTCCCTCGCCCCCGGGGGACCGGCGCCGTCTCCTCCCATTGGTGTGGCGCGCCCAGCACCACCCGTCAGTCCATCAGGCGCCCGCATTCCGGTACAGCCTTCCCGGCGTCCGCGGTCTGTCCGTCCACTCCTACCCGCAGCTTCAGTCAGTCTATTCCCGTCTCACCTCGACGCCGGCCTCCAGACTGCTCCGGCTGCTGCCGCCGCCGCCGCCGCCACCGCCGCGGTTGCAGCCGCCGCAGCCGGGGAGGGAGCAAGTCAGCGAGCGAGGGAGGGAGGTGGCGGGTCTCCCCTCCCCTCGGCTCATCCCCTCCTCTCAGGTCCCCTCCCCTACGCTTCGCTGCCGCGCACCGCCCCCGCCCCTTGCACGGCTCCCGCCCCTCCCGGCCAGCCGGAGGGAGCCACGCGTGCCAGGCCCCGCGTTACCTGGGCAACCGGCCGGGGGACCACTCGCGCGGCTCCCTAGCCCTTCCCCCGCGTGCCTCCTGGGGGTGTCCCCTTCCCAGGCCCCGGGCCCCTCCCGCTAACGGTCACCGGGGGTCCTGGTAGAGGCAAGGGGTCAGGGGAAGCGGAGAGGGGTCTCCGAGGAGGCTGGACCAGTGAGACAGGCTGGACCAGGTGGAGGCACCCCTACCAGCAGGAAGGGAAGGGGGATGAGGCCAAACTTGGGAGAGGCTGCAGAGGATGATCAGGGTGGAGTTTCCAGAAGGGAGCCTGCAGAACGGCGAGTCCCTCTACCGCCAAGGAAGCAGCAGCAGCAGAAATGGGTAATGGAAGGCTCAAGAAAAGGGTCCCTGGAAGGGTCAGAGCTGTGACTGGGAAGGGAATTCCAAGGGGCAGGATGGAGGCTGCAAGAGCAGTCTGGAACAGCAGGAGGGGGCTGGGTAAGAGCAGGGTGGACCACACCAAGTACGAAGAGGACGACTGGGGAGAAGTGCAGTTTTTATTTTCAACGTCTTTGTTCCGTCTTAGGGCTGAGTTGCCCAGTCTTTCCACAGCTACATCATCCATCACCTCTCAGGGCCTTAAGAGTGTGCAGGTATTGGGCTGGGATGTGAGCAGCAGGTAGTGGGTCTGGACAGGGGAAGGGGAAAAGCAACATTTATGTCCAGCGAGCAACTGTTTGGGTTTCTGACCCAGGCCTCTTCAAACCTCCAGGGGCTATTCTGGGCTTGGGTGGATTGAGTATTCCCCAGACTCCGGAGTCCTAGAACTTGCTCCCCATAGCCTAGGATCCTCGGCCCCACCCTGAATCTGGACTGCCTCCGCTGGTGCTGCCTCTGGGGAAGGAGCCAAGCCGGAGCCTCAGAGCTGCACAGGGCAGAGCAAGGCTGCAACTGGCTGACCGACTGCAGGCCTAATAATTCCCTTAGGGGTGGGAACAGGGGGCTTGGTGAAAGCAATTCATTCATTGAGTCTGAGACAGGTTTTTATTTAAAATTTATTGTAATGGGGTCCGCGCAAAAGGAGGGGGTGAAGGGTGGGGAACATGCAGGGGACACCGGAACACGATGACATGGCCAGGGCCACAGCTTCTGTCGTGGGGGAGAGGGATGAAAAGAAAAGGCCAGGGCTGGAGCTGGGGTGGAAGAGGGAAGGGGGAGACACTGTGGCTGCATTCCCCCCACCCCCAGGAAGCACCTCTAGTCCCTGGATACCTCCATTTACCCTGGCCCCTAGGATTCCATCTCATCCTGCCTCTGGCCCTAGTGGCTCCTTCTTTTGCTCCCCTTGACTTGTTTTCCCCTGACAGATTCTTAAGCAGGATGATGTTCAGGGCCTGACCCCAAACAACCCCACCTGATGAAGGTACAACCTTTGCCTTCTGCCCCTTCTCAAATCTCACCTTTCCCCATCTCTGGGACAGAATCTTTGATTTCCCTCCTTCCTCTCCTCCCTCCCCCTGGAAAAAAAAAAAAAAAAAAAGCACCAACTCCCCAGGGAGGGGCAGCAGACAGGGGGGCGGGGGCACTGGGAGGAGGAGAGCAAGAAGGACCACCGGGGGAGAAGGCTCACAAACCCCTGGAAGGGCAGGCCAGGGGGTCACAGAGAGGAGAGGGGGTGAGGGCAGTGGCCACTCCTGGTCTCTGCTCCCCCCTGCCCACTGTCCAGGGGACTTCAGCACAACCAAGGGAACAGGTGTGTGTGGGGTCAGGTCTCACAGGGAGGAGAGAGGAGCAGGAGAAACAAATCGTTAAAACCTAGCGAATTCTCCTAAGAAAACATTTCTTCCTCCTTTCCTTCTGGAGGCTCCTTGGTTGGTGGGGGAAGTAGTGAGGAGTTGGTGGGAAAAGAGAGGGGAAGAGGAGATGGTGCCGAGGGACTTTCCTCCATTCTCCCCTCTCCCCCCCACCAACTTGGAGCTCACCAGGGCTGGGAGGGAAGTGGCTGAGAGCTCACAGGCACCCCCTCGGCCCCCGAGAGGGAGCCCACGGCTGTGGGTGGGGCTGCCACCGCTGCTGCTGCTGCCGCCGCTGCTGCCGCCGCCGCCGCCATTGGACAGACCTCACCTGCCATTGGACAGACCTCACCTGTACCTGCAGGGTGAGAAACACCAGGAGATCACAGTGCGATCTGAATGGCAAGAGCCTTGCCCCTTGCCCCAGACGCCCTCCCCTGGGACACAGCCGTTGCTCACTCCCTGTTTAGTTGAGATTTCGGCCTGCATCCTTACCTCCTTCTCCTGAAAGGCCCTCCCTGGTCCCAGAAGTCTCCCTAACTTGGGGATAGCTGGGCATCCCTGGCCTTCCTAAAATCCCCTATTGGGTCCTGTGAGCCCCCTCGTCCCACGCACCCCATCCCACCCCCCCCAGCCATGCCCCACGCCTTGCCTGGTGGGTGCGGGGGTCCCCCTCAGCAGGTGGGCTGTGGCTGGGGGGCATCTCCCGGGACAGGGGGGGCGGCCCCCCCCAGATGGGTCTGCATGTGGCCGGCCAGCTGGGCAGGGGTCTTGCAGTGCACGCTGCACAGCTTGCACAGGATGCGGTCAGCCCGCGGGGCCTGGAGCCCATGGTCCTTCACCGCGTGGATGCGCAGGTATGCTGCTGTGGTGAAGCCTATTGGGGGGGGGTGGATGGGGATGGGGGGGTGGGGGTCAGCCAGGCGGAGACCCCAGAGACGGGGTTGTTCTCCTAGGCTGGGGACGCCCTCCTCAGATGGCCCTGTCCTCCTCCCACCACATCCTTGGTAGCCTGGGGCCAACTACTCTGCTGGGGCTGGGGGGGGGCACAGCTCCCCGAGTGTGGGAACTGGTTGAATGGTGTTGGCTTCTGGGCCTTGGTGTCCCCAGAGTCCATTCTCTGTGGCTGGGGGATCTCTCCTGGGGTGACAGGACACTGATTCCTAGCCACTTGAAGAGTTGACCCTCAGCAGAGACGGCTGTGTCCCCTCCCTCCAGTGCCCCATACAGTCTCAGCCCAGTTACTCAGTGGAGTGAATTTGTTTAAAAGCAGCTCCCTCTGCTACTGAGACAGGGCGAGTACTTTGTAAATCTCTGCCAACGTACTCCACTTGCCCCAGGAGCTGAAGACAAGAACTTGTGGCTGCACAGCTGAAACCTTGCCTGCCAACCGGTGGGAACTGGCTCTCTTGACCACTCCCTCCCCAAAGCAGTCATGCCCCTCCCATCTCCCCACACACACCCAAGAGTTGACTCTGGTAGATCATCTCCTCCAGCCATGACATCTTAGAACTTAATGATGTTCAGTAGTCCCAACGTTTCTTCGTGTGCTTTCTAAAGGGATCTAGATGCCACGAGCTCTTGGCTACAGCACCTTTAACCCACATCTGTGGAAGGGCCTCTGGTTTTGTCCCCACCCTCTGTCCCTGGCCCTCCCGGCATCTCTCAGCATGTACCTTTGTTGCAGAGCTCACAGACATGGTGAGGACCCTGGCTGTGCACCTTCATGTGGTCCGAAATATAAGCCGAGCTCAACATCTTGCCACACACGTGACATGGCACCTTCTCCTCGTGTCGTACTGTGTGGGCCCGCAGACGGTCCTTCGTAGCAAAAGCTGCCTCACATTTCTGGGGAGGGCGGAGGGGCGTGGGGGGTGTCAGGAGAGTTAAAGCTTCGGGGAGTGGGGCGAGGGGGACAAGAGGTTAAAGGAATCAGAGCCTTGGGGGTCTTTGATCTGTAGGAAATGGGAGTGAGATGATGAGGTCTTGAAGAAGAGATGAGAAAATGGAGTGAAAAAGCAAAAAGAAGAGAGAGAAAAAGGGGCTCTGAGAGGCTGAACTCAGACAACTACAATGAGGATCAAAATCATGAAAATCAGGACAGGAGGAGGCGGGCTTCCTACCTCACATTTGAAGGGCCGTTCTGTTGAGTGCACTTGTCTGACGTGACTGTTGAGGTGATCCGGCCTGGGGACACGTTGGGGTTGGGGTTAGGGCCCTGGGGTGTGGAGGGGTCCCCGAGTCTGCCTAACTCGGTCCATCAAGCATTTGCAAGGGCCCTGCGTTTTCTCCCAAGCCCAGGGATTCGAGTCCCGGTTAGGCAGGAAATCCCTCCTCTCACTCTAGGCAGCCTCGGCCTCCTCCCACTCGAAGCGCTCCTACAACCCAAGGACCCACCTCCTTTTGCTAAGGACCACCCCCTGCTCCCTGGTAACCGGGAGAGGCTTTCCTCCCTCCTCCCTGGGAGTGGCTCCCAGTCCCCATCCTCAGAAACCTCCCTCCCTCCCTCCCCACCAGCCAAGGCCAGGCCACCTCCGTCGCCGACCTTCCCTCCCTCCCCACCCGCCCAGCGGGCGGCTGAGGCCCCGTGCACACCGGGAGAAGCTCTTGCCACAGTGGGAGCAGTTGTAGGGCTTGTGCACAGCGCCGTCATGTGAGCGCACGTGGTAGCTCATGCGGTCCTTGCGCTTGAAGCGCTGCTGGCACACCGGGCACTGGTAGGGCTTCTCGTCCGAGTGCGACAGCTTGTGTCGGTTCAGGTGGTAGACGTCGCGGAAGGCCTTGCCGCACATCTCGCAGGCGTGGTTCTTCCGGATGCGCTTTCCCGAGGCGGTCGTGGTCACCACACCACCGGCGGCCACTGCGGCCGCTCCGCCACCGGCACCCGCCTCTCCCCCTCCCCCGCCGGCTCCGCTCAGTTGGGGCACGCTCAAGAGGCTTAGGGGCACCATGGTGGGCATCTTCATAGCACCCGAGGGGACCCGGCCGGCTTTGGCTCCGGTGTGGATGGCCTCGTGCCTTCGGAGGTTGTAGCCGTTCTTGAACTCCTTGGCGCACAGAGCGCAGATGTAGGGCCCCTTGCTCTTTGTCTTCTTCTCCAAGGCAGATGCGACCGGGGCCACGGCGACCGTCGAGGTTGGGGCAACGACGGCGGTGGCCGCGGCTGCGGCGATGGTGGCGGCAGAAACAGGGGGCGCGGCCTCGGCGGCGGGCGCCGACACCGGCGGGGGCGGCGGAGGGGGCGCTGGGGGCTGCTTCAGAGCCGCTGTGTCCACAGTGGAGGCGGCGGCCGGGGCCGGGGGCGCAGCAGCAACGGCGGCGGCGGCAGCAGCAGCGGCGGCGGCAGCCGCGGCCGCAGCGGATTCCTGGGCGGCGGCGAGGACCGGGAGCAAGTCCACCTGGAGGGGCTCGGCCGCCGGGGCCTGGGGCGTGGGTGGGGGCGCCGGCGCGGCCTGCGAAGACAAGGCGCCGTGTGGGCCGCGGCCGCGGGTCGGCGCCCTCCCGGCCCGGCCCGCCACGGCCGGCCCCTACTCACCTGGAATGGACTCTGGGCGCAGCCCTGGGAGGCAAAGAAGCGGGACTGGAGCTCAGCCCCGACCTGCAGGGGGTTCTGGGCGTGACCCTGAGGTGGCGGGAAGGAGTTCATGAGGCCGCCCACCCCCCGGGAGTCCAGGCCCAGCACGGGGAAGGGGGGGGCCAGCAGCGTGCAAGGGAACACGGGGAACATGGCCTCGGCCACGGCGGGGCCCCCGGGGCTCAGCGGGGGCCGGGGGCGCGGGCCGCGCGGGGCCCGGGCTCGGGGCGCCGCCCCCGGCCGGCCGGGCTGGGCCGCGCCGAACGCATGGCCCGCGGGCCACCCCGCCGCCCGCGCACCCCGGCCGGCGGGAGGGAGGGAAGGAGGGCGCCTGGCGGGCCGCGGAGCGCGGCGGCGACGGCGGCGGCGACGCCCCCTGGGTGGGGGCGGGAGGCCCCGCGGGGCCGGGGGCCGGGGGCGGGGGCCCGGGCGACGGCGGCGGCGGCGGCGGTTGGAGCCTGGCGGGGCGGGGTGGGGGGAGCGAGGGAGCAGCCTCGGCCCCCGCCGCGCGCGCGCCCAGCCGGCGCCTCGGGGAGGGCGGGGGAGGGCGCGAGGGAGGGAGGGGGACAGCTGCGCGCGCACCGGGCGCGCGGAGGGGGGGTGGGACGGGAGGGAGGGCGGGCGGGAGGGGGTGTGGGAAGGGGGGGTGGGGCGGGGGAGGGGGTTGTTACCTGGAAGATGAAGCTGCTCCAGTTGCCGGGATCCATGGCGGAGGGAGGGAGGGAGGTGGCTCGCGCTCACCCTGGGGCGGGAGGAGGAGGAGGCAGCCGTGGGGGAGGGGGGAACCCGGGGAGGAGGCGCGCGGGGCGGGCGGGAGGGGGGAAGGAGGAGGAGGGTGGGGGGAGCGGAGCACACTGCGCGCGGGGAGGGAGGGCGGGCGGGGGGCGCGAGGACACACAAGAGGCTGGAGCGGGCGCGAGCGCGAGCGCGCGCGAGGCCCGCGGGAGGGGGGAGGTACGAGAGGGACTCTGGCGGGAGGAGGGACAGGGGAGCCACCCAGCAGCCGGAGTCGCCCCTAGCGCGAGACCCCTGAGACGGCCGCTGATTGGCTGACGATGGCGCAGGTGGTGGGCGCGCTGGAGACGGGGCGGCTTCTCTCTTCCCCCCCCTCAAAGATTCCACCCCCCGCTTCCCTCCGCCAGCGGCCGTTATTCCGCGCGCACGCGCACAAACTCGCTGTCGTTGTCGAGCGGGAGAATAGGGGAGCGCGCGCCGGGGTTGCGGATGGGGCGGGGCTAAGCTCTAAGCGCGCGCCCGCCTAACGGTCGTCGTCCTAGGGCTTTCGCGGGAGCTTTTTGTTTCCTCTCGGCCACCGTCCCGTCCCCCTCCCACTCCAGCGGTTTATTTACAATCTTGCGCCGCTTCGTGTTTTCCCAAAGATGGCGCCCAAAGAAGTTTGCCGGCGGAGCTTGTGGCCCATCCCCGGGCAATTATACCCCGGCCCCGCCCCCGTAGTCCCAAGAATCAGGCTGAAGCAACGGGGTGAAAACTGTATTTACAAGACAAGCAGTTACACAAGGACTTAAAAAACGGGGGCGAGGGACAGAGGAGGGGAGCCGGCAGTCAGGAGGGGCCACAGCCTTGGCCCGCGGCAAGACCCAGGATGTTCGCCTGCAACACAGGAGGGAAGGGGAAAGCAGGTTTAGAGCCGGGCAGGGCACAAGCCAGGGGAACAAGGGGGCCCGAGCCGCGAGCTCACCTTCAGGAACGACTCCATCTGTTTCCCCGATATGCCCTCTACGCGTTCCAGGTCCTCAACCTGGCAGGACAACAGCGATGGGGAAGGGTCTAGGCCAGGTTCCCCCCACCCAACTCCATTCCAGGGCTGTCCTCCCTGGGCCATTACCTGGCTGAAGGGGCCGTGGAGCTCCCTCCAGCCCACGATGAGCTGAGCCTTCTTTTGGCCAATGCGCTGCAGGCTGCGCAGATCACGGGCTGAGCCTTCGTTCAGCAAATCTAATATTTTTTGGCGACCATGGGCCAGTAACTCCGGGCTGATCTGTAGCTCCCAGCCGTCCTCAGCCTTCTCTTCTGGCTGTGAGGCATCTAAGGACTCCAGCTATGAGGCAGGAGGTGAGTGACAGAAACAGTTTGCTGTTCGGCCCACGGCAGTGAACCGCTCTGGACTCCTCGCCAAGGATAGGCGTCTTAACAGCAGCTACCTGCCCGCCCTCCCCAGCCTGTTTCCCTCTTGTCCAGGGTCTGTCCTGATACCCTTCCCTCTGGTCACTCTGGCGTGATTCCCAATTTATCTGATGTGTGAAGAGTAGAATAGAATTGTGATGATCAAATGAGTTAATGAATGTAAAACACACAGTAAGCTCTTAAATCTGATCCCTCATTTCTGAAAAGGAAAGAATAAGTTCTTTCATCTCCAGGAAGGCACATATGATAAAGTTCTCAACAAATGACTCTCAATTGATGTCATCTCCGTTTAAAAATTGAGGTGGGTCTTTCAGTGTTATTTCTTGACTGTTTAGTTGTCTGCCTAAGTGGGCTCTGTAGTTTGTAGAGGGCAGGACCCATACACACTGTGCCTAGTAAGTAGCTACAGAGAGTGAGAGCCATTGGGAAGAAAGAAAAATAACAGGTGATGGACAGCCATCCTGCTAGGTACATTCATATTACCACATTTCATTCTAAATGCCCTGTAAGGCATTCAGAGGGTAAGCAACATGAAAGGGTTGTAAATAGCTGATAAGGGACAGGCCACGTAACTCTGTGGCCAGTCCTCTTCCCACTAGAGGTCTCTGCCTTTTCTCCTGGGCTCAGCCTACAAGCTACTCTCACCTTTCTCTTCCGGCTTTTCTTCTTCAAGATATGGATCTCAGCATTTGGGGATGCTGCCTGCTCCTGAACTGAAAGTAAGAAGTATGAGCTGGAGTCAGAGCAGAGGCCACTTTTCAGCCCCCCTGGTAGCCATTTGGTCTTCCATTACTGATTGCTCAGTTCCCCTCCTCCAAGTTAACCTTCTCTTTTGCTTCCACAGGACCTTTCTCATACTTATATACGAAAGTAATCTCAGTTGGTCTTCCATGATAATCAGTCATGCGCTGGTCAGTCTACCCCACTGGACTAAATGACTGAGAGCAGTACACCCAGCTCTTACTTCATATCCACTTTCCCCCTTTCCATCATGGTGGGAGGACATGAGTGACATAAAGACAGTTGCTTCAAACATCACCTTTCTTCCAAGATCTCAGTTATCTTGGCCCTTCTGGTCCCCTATAGCCAAACTTACTCAGTTGTAGAGGCATCACCACTGCCTTTTTGAGGGGCTTAGCCACTGTGACTGTACGGCGAGCAAGGGGTCGGAGCATTGTGGGAGAGTAGTTCTCTTTCTCCTTGGGGTCAGCAGCCTCCTGGGCCAGCACTTTGGCTTCCAGTTCTTTTTGCTTCATCTTAAGCCTCTGTTAGAAAGGATCAGGGAGAGATATGACCCAGAACCAACTTTAGGGCAGTGGACTAGGAAAGTGAGTGTGCAGGGGTCTGAGGCCTTAGAAGAGCAAAGTGAGGACCTACAAGAGAAACTACCAGGAGACAACTGGAGCCCAGGGTAATTTAGGGCTTTCTAATGATCAGGGCTGCCCAGAGGTGGAAGGAGCTTCTTTGTGAAATACTGAAGGGAAAGGCTGTTCAAGCAGAGTCCTAACTTAATTTGATCTGGGTTTTAGCAAATGGCAGTGTCTTATACTTGTACCTGGAATTTTTTCCTCTTGTCCCCTCACCTGCGATCTCAATTATTTTTCAAAGTTCAGTTAAGGACATTCAAGCAAAAGCTATAGAACGGAGGGATTCCAGTGTTGGGTGAAAACTGGATGCTGGTTCAGCCTTTCTGGTCCTTCCCTATCTGAAGATCCTCCGACTGCTTCTCAAGGTCAGCAAGAATCCCAGCCCCAGCCTCCCAACACTTACCTCAATTTCCAAATCCTTCTCTTCCACCGTCTTCATGAGCACCATCCGCTCTCGCTTTGGGGTGCTCAGCAGAGGGGTCCCCTGGCTCCCCTGGGAGCCCAGCAGACGGTCCAAGCTTAGAAGACGCTCCAGCATTGCCGGATCCATGCTGCTTAGCTTCTGTAGGGGGCTGAGCACACAAAGAGGTTACTCCCCACTTACCTCTTCTCGCATCATCTTCAGCAGCATGATTCCCCTTATCCTGCCTTAACTTGGTGTTTCTGTGGTTCCAGAACTCAACGTTAACTTGCTGGCAACCCTGAACAAGTTATCCAGACACCCTGGGTGCAGTGTCTTCTTCAGGTGAATGGGGATCAATCACTACCTGCCCAGGTAAACCTCTCAAGGAGGCCAGGAGATCAAATGAGAAGCATTTCATCACCACTGAATGGCAGGTATTCATGGGATCTAAGACATCCCCCTGCCCTGAGAGGTACAGTCGAACAGTAAGAAATCATAAGGTGACAGCAAGGGCCATCCGTCTGCCTGTTCATTTGGAGGAGCAGTTGGTCCAAGATTCACAGGGGAGGTCATCTTCAGTGGGGCTCTGAAAACCACTGAAGACCTCAAATGCCAAGCCTTTCTCCTGTGGGCAGTAGGAAAAGCCTATTCAAATAGAGACCTTTTTTCCTTCTGTCTAGAAATTCCCCCTCACATCTGATCTCAGTTATCATTCAAAGTCAGTTTGATGCCACCTTTCTGGTGATGCCAGCTTGGCTGTGTATCTTCTTTCCTACACTATGAACTAGCTTCTCGAGGATAGAAATTGCCCTGTTCTTTATGTACAGGGGCCTCCGAGAGCAGAATCAGAAAGTACAGGTGAACACAGAAGTCGTTTCTTCTTTCCTGGCTGTCGCAGAACAAAAGGATCCTCCTTCCCTATTGTGCTCTGTACTGTCAACCTCGCATCATATACGATGTTCTCGTCTTACTTCCTCTACTGAAATGAGCCTGCTGAGGTTGGGGTCTGTTTGGGTCTGATGTGCCCCACGTCTGAGATTACCCAAGGTGCCTATCTGGCAGAGACCTTGCGTGTTCATGTGCTTTACAGATGTGCATGTGTATATGTTTCTCTGAGTCTGTACACATAGAAGAGGCCACTGCTGACAAATGGTTTAAGAAGGACACGATCGAGAGATGGGGTTCCGAGTGAACACAAGTATCCAAGCGCCTTTTGCCATCCTTTCTAAAATAGTGAGTTGGTCAAAAAGTTCAGGTTTTTCTGTAAGATGCTATGAAAAAAACCTGAATGAATCTTTTGGTCAACCTGATACAACTGTCCCCTGGGGCAGAATGTCCACTAATCCTTGGCCTCCTCAGGTCACCTCTGTTCAGTTGTCTTAGGACTTAAGAGAGTTGAGAAGCTTTATTGGAGCTAGGAGTAGAAAAAGGACAAAGATCAAGATGCAAGTGGTTCCTTGGAGGGCTAGGTGGCCAGACACAGAAAGCAAGACCACTGAACGGGGAAGACTTGAACATGAGTGCATACTGGGCCATGAGGTGGGGCTATCAGAACAGGAAGGGAGGTCACACACCTCCCTGGTTTAGAGAGGCCTTGTTTGGATTGAGGGTAGAAGCAGGGCAAAGTTAGGACAGCAGCTGACCCCATGGAAAGTCACAGAAAGGCTGGACTCTTGACACACAGACTGAGTCTCAATGAGACATCTTTCTTTTTATCTTCTTTGCTATGCTTTATCCTTGGGACCTGAAAGACCTGGTCCTCATTACTCCTTGATCAGAAGCGAAAGTGCTC